ATGGACGACTTGAAGTGGTATGAATGAAATTTATAACATTATATTTCTTGATTCAGGTTCATCAAATAGTGAAGGAATGAGAGCGTCTAGGTCAGTACACGTGCAGAGCCAGGCCGTACTACTGGAGGATATTTCAGTTACCGTCAAATCCAATTTTGGGTGTAAAAGTTTAAAATGATAGAGAAACACTAAAGGAATACTTTGACTGAACCTAGGCCTTGAAATAAAATAGGCTTGTATCAACGAATCGTTACTGTTTTCCTTTATAGGGCGCATGGCGATTCTTCGGTGAAGAAAAGAATAGAGAAAAGAGCTGCGAAGTCTAACGTTCCAAGCCAGTGGTCCTCGATGCCACCTAGTGCTCAATATACACGCGTTAGATTACTCCCATCGTCAGCTGAATTTAATGACGTGGTACAGTTATTCAGAAAGTCAATGAATGACTACGTTGTGGTCGAAAGTATCGATCGCGTGCAGAATCCGTTCATGTGGGAGAAGTATTGCAGGTAACACAATAGCTATTCAATTCTATAGCACTTTGTGTAGAAGCTTTTAAGCAGCTGGAACACGCTTCAGTGCCGGGCTCCAAGTTTTGTTTTGGTAACTCATTGTCGTCGTGTACTTGAGGCGACCAGGGGTCAATTTAATAAAGAAATTACACTTGTAGTTTTTACGCGAGTAATTTACAGGTGTAAAGTCCGGCTTGTAAATACAAGGATTCAATAAAAGAATTTTCTTTACTGGGATTTACACGTGTATCGTGAGTCAGGATACAAGTGTAAATTACAACTGTAGTCTCACAATTGTAAACTCCGCTTGAATGCAGGTGTATTTTTACAGATGCAAAATTTATATCCCTGCTGTCCGGTCAATATCTGTGGGCCTATTTATAATTTCAAAAGGTGGCGAAGGCGTCCACAGGGAGACGAAACATCTCGCGAAATTCCCCTGGATTCTAATAGCCGTCTTTCCTCGAAATTCCGAGTTTGGCGGATACCTGGCATATAATTCATGGTAGGCCACCATATAGTCTACCTGCAGTTTGCTTAAATTTACTGCCGTTTGCTTGCGGTTAGCATTTATTTACTGTTGTTTCCTTACGGTTAGCAGTTAAGGAGTGAAGGGGAAGGCGACTATATGTGTCCTATTATGAAGTTCTTGCCGGATAACTTGATATCTCAGCAGCTCATCAAGTTCCTCCTCACTAGAAGACCACATATTTTGAAGCTCCAATATCCTTTTCAGAAGTCGTACCTTTACGTATACACGTGTAGCGCTACACCCGTCACTACAAGTCGGACACTTGTAACATGGACTCGTAGTAGTGTTTATTAAATTCGCTTTTGTTTGCGCTTGTAAATACAATAGTCCGACTTGTAGATTACAAGTGTAAAAGTTCTATTAAATTGATCCCAGGTTCGCAATTACACTGAGTTAGAAAACTGTATACGTTCCCATCGATATAAGTCGATGGTCATGCATACAATCTTCTAACTCCGTGTAACTGTGGTAAGCATGTTTCGTAATGATTAGCGCGTGAGTGGACCACTAAGCCTTGTTGAACATAACACTAATCACGCCACTGCAAGACCACGCAAGAATCCACGCAAATTCGTGCGTATACGCCGCGGATTTTATGACGTTGATGTTTGTGCGTTGTTTTCTAAAAATAGCTGAAAATGATTCATATCATACAGTCTCCCTTCCCGACTGGTGGCTCCTGTTAGCAAGCCATCCAGAGAGAATAGCAGCACACCTGGTCGCTTCATGCTCAGGCATAAACTGGAATATGCAATGTCACTTTGAGCGGAGTGCAGAAATTGCCTTATCATGGACTTGACACAAACAATGAAATTGATATTATAATTTCTTGTTATTTTTTTTAGGAAAAAAGAGAACATGATTGCAATAGCTCGGCGTAATCAGCGACAGGTTGACGAAAAACGACTATTTCACGGAACCAGTCCAGGGACCGT